CCAGGGTGGGCACGTGGATTTTGTAGGTCTGGGGAAGGAGCTGCCCAACCACATCCCTGCTTCCGTCACCAAAGGCTGTGGGAAGCGCCACAGCCCTGCCAGGACCTTGCTCTGCACCTACTCCCTGAGCCCAGGAGTGAATGACTTGGGTTGGGCAGGAATTTTCCAGCTGAGTTTTCCACCTGAGAACGCTGACAAGGCCCAGCCAAAGAGCTCTGGGGAAAGGTTTTTATTCCATCAGAGCTTTCGGTGGAAACAAAGCAAGGCCAGGCCAGGTCCTCGATGTGTCCTCAAACGCTGCCAGCCCAGCCCCCTGCCCACACAGCCCTGGCCACAGCATTGCCCAGCTGATGGATGAGCCAGGGCAGCAAAGGGAAGCAGTTCCTTCAGCAATGACTCTGTAGATTAATTTAATTAATTGATTTAATAGCAAAATGTATTTACTGAAGGCAGTTTTTAACCTCTTGACACCCAATTATTTTTCTGCTCAGTTTGAGGATCCCTCACCCTGGCCCAGAGCCACAAGCCCAGCCTGGGGGTCAGAGGAGGGAGAGTTGGAGGTCACAGGAGGGAGAGCCCAGAAATGGAGGAGAGAAGGAGGATGGGCCCCAAGGGGGACCTCAGGTCAAGAACAAAATTCCTGGGTACCCACAAATCCTCCAGTTTGTATGAACAAGGCCCCAGAAGTGCCACCTCAGCAGAGCAGAGGCCTTGAGGAGGCCAGGGGGACACCAGGCACTGTCCCCTGGGCACATCTCCCCATGGCCATCCTCGTTGGTGATGGCCACAAGAGCCAGCCCAGAGAATCAGCTGCTGAAACCACTGCCCCTGCTGGCTGGTGGCAATCAGGGACAGAAACAGCCTCTCTTTGTGACAGGGGCGTCATCGATGCTCTCTGCACCTCCTGGCTCGCTGCAGGACCTGCCAGCAGTGTCCCAGTGCCTGTCCCCACCCCACAGCGTCCTCCTGTCCCCACCCCACAGGGTCCTCCTGTCCCCACATGGGGATCTCTGGAAGAGATGAGTGAGGATGGATTTTCTACTCTCCAACAGCATCATCAATCTGGAGGAGTCCCATAAGGATCAGAACCAGCACCTCACTTCTTTTCCAGTTTCTGTTTCTGTTTGGGTTTCTGTTGTTGATTAAAAAACCGAAAAAAATCCATCTGGAGGATTTCTGAAAGATTTTTTCCAAGCTGTTCCTGGCTCTTTTCCTGTCTCACTTCGAGCTGTCCCATCCCTGAGCAGCAGTGAAATGTCTGACAACCAGGAAGGCCAAAAGTGCACCTCCAAATCTCACATTTCTTCATGGAATTCAGGTGAATTCCTGGTCCTACACTGTCCCCTCCTCTCCCTCCATGACAGGAGAATGGCTGTTTTCTTCTTTTCTGAAGAAAATGCACATGAAGGACAGTGATATCTAACAGGGAAAACCAGAATAACATTTAAAAAACAAACAAAAAACCCAAACAAACAGATGGAAAAGAAGAAAAGACCTTTTGGCTGAGTCCAGTTCTCATCTGCTCCACCAGATTTCCTGAGGGCAAACAAAGAAATCTTTTACTTCTGCTGTGAGAAGAGAGGTGATTTTCCCCAGGCCTTGGATATTTGTTAATACCCAATCCAGCCCCACCACCTGCACTCCTCTTGCCAGAGAAACCTCAAATTTTGCACCTCAGTTTGCATCTTCCAGGGCCTGGCACATCCTTTTTTCTTCTTGGGTCTGTGGCAGAAACCTCTGCAATAAGATTTGGCTAATTAGAATCCTGGAATGGTTTGGGTTGGAAGGGACCTTAAAGCTCATCTCATTCCAGGCTGTGCCATGGCAGGGACACCTTCCACCATCCCAGAAATCCAAATTCTGTCCAGCCTGGCCTTGGACACTGCCAGGGATCCAGGGGCAGCCACAGCTGCTCTGGGAAATCCATCACAGCCCCTTACCACCCTCACAGGGAATAATTCCTTCCCAATATCCCATCTAAATTTCCCCTCTTCCAGTTTAACTTCATTCCCCTCATCCTGACTCTCCAATTCCATGCAGAATCCCATTCTGGCTTCCCTTCATGTCCTGGGAGGGGTCTGAGTTCTCCACACAACCTTCTCTTCTCCATGTGAGCACCACCCAGAGGTGCCCCAGTCCCCCTGTCAGCTTTTTGTCCTCCTCTGGATTTGTTCCACGTCCTTCTCCTGCTGGGAGCACCAGAATTCCAGGTGGGATCTCCTGGGAGCAGGGCAGGGGTGGCCGTGGCTCAGTCCATGGATGCACTGGTTGTGCTGGGTGTGGTTTGACTGCTCTGAGCTGGGAAAGCCTTGGAATATAAAAAGGAGGCATCACCTGGGGGTGGGAAATAGAAAAACAAACAAAGGTGGAGGGGAGCTTCTCTTCCAGGCCCCTGACAAGTCAAACCCTTCCCTGCCTCACGTCCTTCTGAGGGATTTAGGAAGAAGATGATCTCCTGTCATTCAGGGAGAGCAGGGGACAGTGTAGGATCAGAGGTTCACCTGAATTCCATGGGGAAATGTGGGATTTGGAAGTGTATTTTTGGCAGGCCCAAAGCTCTCTGCGCTTTCCTGGTTGCCAGACATTTCACTGCTGGCCAAGGAGGGAACAGCCCAGTGGGAAAAGGGAAAATCTCCTTTTCTGTGGGTTCAGGGATTCCTCAGGGCTCTGAAACAGAGATCAGGGAGCCCAGAGCTGGTTTTGGTCCCATTTTTGTGCTGCTGAACAAAACCTGAGCGGGATGGAAAGGTCACTTTGTCCTCGTGTGCAGCTGCTAAGCAGGCGTGTCCTGGATAGGATGGGGGTCCTGGTGGTGAGATTGGGGTGCTGGAGATAAGACAGGCTGGGATGAGCCAGATCAGGCTGGGGGATCTGCTGAGGTGTCAGTGGTGATCAGATGAGTGCCAGCTCTGTCACGTTATCGCTCTGGGTGCTCAGAAGGTGAAGTCTGTCCCTTCCCTCCAAACACCGAGGGTGGAAAATTCCAGAGAGCCTGAAAGATTTGGGAAAAACAGAGGGAGATGGATGAGTGCAGAGAAGGAGGGAAGGAAGAAAAGAGAGGATTTGGGGAAGTTTCTGGAAGAGGAGCAGCTGTCACAGAGCTCTGAGTCTGTGCTCTGCAGCTGCTGCCTTTATCAGTGACACTGCTCTTATCAAACCCAGATCCCTGGGTTCAGACAGGGAAGGGGCTGCAGGTCCTGCAGGGTGTTTCACCTGCAGCAGGGAGTGGGGAGAGAGGCAGGGCTGGGAAAATCCCTGCTGTGGATGGGAGATAGGAGAGGCTGCAGGGCCTGGAGACCTGGAGGTGTTCCCACTGAGGGGGCTGAGTCCCTCTGGAATGGCAGAGTGGGATGATCAGGGCCCCAGCTCCCAGGAAATTCTCCTCAGGGGTGACTGACAGACCCTGCACATCTCAAAAGCAGGAATTACAAAGATTCTCAGGAGCTCTGTGACTTCAGGTCCTGTTTGTCTCACTCCTTTTTCCCCTTCCAGCAACTTCTGATATTTTCCAATGCTCTTGGAACAGGCAGCTTCCAACCCAAATTATCCCCATCCCAGGCAGGATAAACCCCTTCCCTCAGTCCTCTGGCATAATCCCAAGGGATTTGTGTCCTGTCTGTCGGGGTGTGGATACACACACAAAACTGTCTCCAACTAAAGCAGAAGTTTCTCTGGGAATAGTTCTCCGGTGCTTTCCTTCCCTGTTTGAAAAAAATAGCAGCATCCAGTTAGCTGAAAATTTATTGCAAGAAATCATTTCAAACCAGAAAATGGATTTGTTTTGAAAACAAAGTCTAAACAAAATGTTTTGGCAGTGGCTTTCAAGTAGAAAACACATTGAGCCTTCTCTTTTCCAGCTAAAGAGCTGCTTTCCCTGGGAGGAAAACATGACAGAGAGGAGAATTTTTTCCTGTCTCTGCACTGACTGAACAAACAGGAACGAGGAAGGTTCTCCTGGATACCTGTTTTCCTCTCTGCTGGGAGGGATAATAGATCCAGAGTTCAACATTCAGGACAAGTTGATGGGGTTGAGAGAGAAAAATGCCACACGTGAAGAGTGGGTGTCTCTGCAAGCTTCTAAGCAAGGAAATTTAGGATTTTATTTTTCATCAAACCTGGCTCAGTGACTGCTGGGACAGAGGTTGATTCAGAGGTTGATATGGTTAATTAACTTATTACCTAATTACCAGAGCTTTGTTTTCAGCCCAAATGCCACTCTCACCCCTGGCCTGAGGCTGTTTGTTTCCCCCAGGACAAGGTGCTGGGGGGGAGCTGCTCTGTGGCTTTAGCTACCAGGAGATGGTGAGAGATAAATTCTTGTGTTTGCTGCCTCCTGCTTCCTTCAGAGCCTTCACAGCCTCTGTTCTCTGCAGCACAGCCCCCAGCAAGGGCAATCCCCTGCACTGGGGCAGGTGAGCAATTGTTTTTGCAAGAAAACATGCAAAAAACCTTCCAGCTGTGCAGCAAAACCAGCCCAAAGGGGGAGGCTGGGCAAGGAGGGAAATCCTGGCTTCATAGAGGGAAATCACATTTATTTCCTTGTCAGCCTGTTGGAAATGATAAAACTTTTAAAATAGCTTTTAGTCAATGGTTTTAATTATATTTTGGTTAATTAACTGTAACCAATGTGTTAATTATAGACAATGTGTTATTCTTAAATTATTTCTGGCATATAGCAAAGCTCCTTTTGTGGGAACACAGCCTGGAAAAACGACTAAAACTGTAAAGTTTGTTGAGCTAACCTTGATATGCTGCAATGAACATTCACTGTTTGTTTGCTAAAAATGTATAAAAAGGTGAGGAAGTTTTGGATCGGGGGCTGTGTGGAGGCTGGGATTTTGTCAGCCCCATCCACACCCAGAGCTGAGAATAAAGCAATTTTCTGACACTAAAAATGCAGCGTTGGAGGGTTCTCTTATCCTGATGGGTTTGGGGGTTTTGGCAACGAGCCTGAAGCAGTTGCCAGCATTTCTCAAAGTTCAATGATCCGAGCCATGGGATGTTCAGAACATGGAATAGTTTATTTATAGGGTGACCGGTTTTTAAGCTTGAAAAACAACATTTCATCAGCACACAGGGGCCAGGTGGGATCCAGGAGCTGAGGGATTGGTCCTGGGATTGTTTAGGAGCCACCTTGGAGGGCTGGGTGACACCTGCTCTGTGCTGGCCAGGGTGCAGGGGGACAAACCAGCTCTGTCCCACTGTTCCTTCCCATCCCAGCTGCAAACCAGCTGCTCCCTGCCCTGATCCAAGGGGAAAAGGACTCGGTGGCTCCTTGTGCTGTGCCCCACCCTGTGCAAACCCCACCAGAAACGTGCACTTGGTTGTTTCCTGGGAAAGCATTGTTTGTTAAGGGACTTGGGAAAATCCAGATTTTCTGGAGCCAACACAGTTCATCCTCGGTGAGCCTGGGAGGCACAAAGCTCTGGGACAGCTTTGGAATTGGGTGGGAAGGAGCTCTGGCACTGTCTGTACTCCTGGGCTGGGTCAGGCTGGCGGAGCTGGGAGGCACAGCTGGGTGTCCCTGTCTGTGGGGACACCAACGTCCCCCGTGTCCTCAGTTCCGCAGCTGCTGAGGAGCATTTGAGAGATTAAAGCAAAACTTCACAAGGAGCCTTTCCAGCTCCATGCAGGGCAGGTGGAGGCACGGAGAAGGAATCTCAAGGAAGAGCTGCTTTGGCCTTGTCCCCTGTGCCTGGCCCATTTTCGGGCTTGGCAGCAATGCTGTAGTAGTAGGAGCGGATCATGTTTTCCACAGCCACAAATCCTGGACGTTCTTCCCATCTGCAAGGGCAGAGAGGAACAAAAAAGGTCATCAGAGAGGACAAAACTGGCCAGGTGCAATGAGAGGACACACAGAGACCCTGGGGAAGAGCAGCAGGGTGGCTGTGCCAGGGCGCAGGAGGCAGCTGAGACTTTTCTGGGATGAAGAGGGTCAAAGACACCGAGCCTTGGGGATCTTCCAGGGTTGGCACGGGCAGATGGGGGGGTCTGATAATAAAAAATTCATCTTGGGCTGCGGAGTCATCACAAACAAAGGCAGGAGACACCGTTTGCTTTGTGTTGTCACCATGCAGACAGTGTGGTGAAGGTGTCCCTGCCCATGGCAGGGTTGGACTGGATGGGCTTTAAGGTTCTTCCCGACCCAAAATTCCAATCCCACTGTGGGATTTGGTGACTCTGATGGAGCTGCCACCCTGGGAAATGCTCACCTGTATGTCCAGCACTGCTGCATCAGGGTGTACATCTCTGCAGGGCACTCCTGGGGACAGTCCATGCGCTTGCCCTGCTCTATGAAGCTGATCACCTCGGGGCCCTTCATTTTCTGGGATGGGAGCAAATGGGAAAGGGATTAATGTGTTCAGAGCTGGCAGCAGGGTTAGGAGACAGGTTAGAGCTGGGCCTGGGGTGGAGCTCTGGTCCCACACCCCCCACACCCAGCAGTCACTGTTCCCACCCTAGAGGCCAGAACTGTTCACTGTGGCCAGGCCATCCCACAAATCCCACCCCACAGATCCCATCCCATCCATCCCACAAATCCCACCCCACAGATCCCATCCCATCCATCCTGCAGATCCCACCTCACAGATCCCATCC